GATGTGATTAATATTAGCCACCACACCACCAAATTGCTTCATATATCAATACAGTGTTTTCTTTGTGTTGAACAAAGGCAGATTTTATCATCCAGCTCTTAAAACTTTATCTGAAACTACATTTGTCTTAGCTCAACTTGAATTTCTCAATTTCAATGTTTTAAAATTAAACTATTATATAATCTAAGCTATAAAAAACTAGTAAGATGAAAAGATGTTTTGCTTTTTAAATATTGTTTGTTACTTAAACTACAGTGTATGTTTATATTGTTTGTTTTGTGACTTAAATCATGTTTTGTGACTTAAATCTTTGTGTTTGTTTTTAAAGAGATATATTGCTTAGATGTTTCATTCAAAAATATAGAGCTCAAGGTTTCTGATAACACATTACTAAGAATTAGCCCTAAAGCACAATACATTCTAGATGATAAAACAATGTCTGTAAAGGACAATAATCCATTATTCTACAATTTCACATTTCAGATTGATGATCTTGAATTATTTTAGTTTAAAGTAAAAGATTCTGTTTTTATATTTAAGCATTTGGTACTTCAATAATAATTTTTAAAGTTAAAACATTGAAGCCAATAAGTTTAAAACAGCTGACAAATATCTCATATTTGTAATGTTGATTAAGAAAATTTGTAATATTATGGCATATCTCTTTACCTCATTTAAATAATAGAAAAATTTTAGAATTGTTTTGTTTATATATGAATGAAACACAAATATCTTTGTGAGTTTTGAAATTCCTGTATTATTTGTGATACGGTTTTTTTTTTTTTTTTGATGGGGTCTTGCTATGTTGCCCAGGTTGGTCTCAAACCCCTGGCCTCAAGTGATGCTCCCATCTTAGCCTCCTGAGTAGCTGGGACTACGGGTGCCCACCACTTCACCCAACTCTGTGACATTGTTAAAGTCATTTATTAAAATAGGCTTTCATTCATTATTTTATAATTGAACTACTTGTTTATGGTTTTATTAGCCCTGTCCAAGTTTAGAAATTAATTCGGTGCCTGTCAATATAGTGACCATACTGTCAGTGATTCATTAATATCAAAGCCAACTTAATGGACTCTATTAATTGAAAAGATAAGACAACTAAATCATTACCATGCAACTGCTAAAAATCCAGATTTTTAGAGCTCTGTCATGGTAACTCTGATGCCTGACAGAATTCATTTCCTCTGAGCTTATAGTACTAATGGACTGCCCCAACCCCCACTTCCTATTAGTCTTCTGGTAACGGATAACCAAGTGATAACTTTCAACTCTCTGACTTGATCTAAATGTCAACCAACAAGCTACAAATGTATTCCTGACAGGACAGCTAGACTTTTGTAAAATGTGAATCTATTCACAGGGAAATGAACAGATCACAGCTTGGGTAGTGCTAACAATAAATTAAAGCAGGCAGGAGAACGTAATTAAGACAATTTTTTAAGTCAGAAATGGAAACCCAAACAAGGCTGTATTTACTAGTAGCCTTGAAAATATTCTTCCAATCGAGGACATTACTCTTTTTATCTTTATCAGAAACAAAAATTAAATTAGTACTGAGGTATAATGGGTGATGACAGATAGAAAAACAAAGGCTGGGCTTGAAAAAATAAAGTCCCTTAACAAGAAGAGACCTGCAACACAGTTTTAAGACACTGTGTTCAATAGGCAAAGATAAATGGGCTATACCTTGCTAAAAAAGTATCTAGGAGATACGGTCAAAAACAAAACTTCTGAAGGTTCCTCAAGAGAGAAAAGTATTCACTACAGTCATTTCATTCTTATGAAGAGAATACATTTTTTTTCTATGATACAATCAATCATCTGACAAATGGCTTTCCCTTCTATTCTAAAACTGGATTTGTTTATACTATTACCCTATAGAACAGAATATTCTGTTCAACAATTATGATGAGGGCCTCATGATTTAAACATTTTTAGTTGCTATGTTTAAAAAAGTAAAAAGAAACAAGTGAAATTAATTTAAATAAGATATTTGATTTAGCCAATATATCAAAAAATCCAAAATATTACCATTTTAACATATGATCATTATAAAAATCATTAATGAGATAGTTTATACCTTTTTTTTTGATTACTCTCTGAAATCTGGTGTTCATTTTACACTTGCAGCACATCTCAATTTGGAGCAGCCACATAAAGTTCAGGAGCCACATAAAGCTCACGAGCTCGTGGCTACTGTACTGGACAGCACAGGTCCAGAGAAACTTTTTTTTCCTCAAAGACTTGATTCACATGTTTTCTTCAAACCTTTCATCAACACATCCTTTTTTACATACTATTTGATTTAAATGTTAGTCTTGGACAACATGTACTTGAAATTCTCTGAAGTCCTTGCATATTGTTTGCTTAATATGGAATAAATGATTTTTAAGCAAAAAAGAGCAGGTCTCAGTGGTCCAGCAATTTCTGAGTTCAGGTCATCGGGCCAACACTTCTGCATTATTCAATTTGTTCAGTGTAATATAGACAGCTCCACTGGAGTATGTTTGGCTTAATTCCTCTAAAAGTTGAGGACCACACAATAATAATCGCATAATACAAGAAAGTTCTAGAATATGGGATTATTCTACACCTACAGTCTGTGGAGTGAAAAGTTATGAAATAAGATAAAACTCAGTATTTCAGTGGGTTATTTTCTATTTTATGTATCATAATTGTCCCAATGACACTATTTATACAGTAGCAATTATCTTCAGACATATCTGGAATCTATCACATGAGCAGCTGGCATTGACATACCAGTGATGAAGATGAATCAATGTATTCAGCAGTATGTGGCTCTATGTTATAAGGGGCTTTACAGGAGACACTGGGACAAACATGTGTCAAGACAGTAGTACATTCACACAAGGTAACAAGTAAGAATGTAGTATGATACACGGACTAGATGCTATGGTTGTCGTGGGAAGTACTCACTTTTTCAGATCATTCTGCTTCTGTTTGGTTTGTGCATGCCACTGGTGCATAGCAGGGAAGAAGCCACTTGTGTATAGTGGAAAAAGTATATCAACTAATAAAACTGCATTTGACTGAGAAATAATTTTATCACAGCTGTCACTAAATTAATTCTGTAATACTATCAACACAACAGGTGCATTAAATTTTATAAATCAGAACTCTGTTTGCTGATTCATAAACTGGCCAGTATGCAACAAGAATATGATGCATCAAATAAAGCATTCTATAATCTTCATGCAGTAAACTGTAACTAATACCTCAAAAACAGTTAATGCAACATTAGACAGGGATTAAAGGAAAAACTTGGTACAAACGCATGTCCTGGATATGAGAAAATGGTAATAATCACAGTTTCTTTTCTAAATTAAAAATCAAAAATATTATTTTGCATTAAATTTTAAATGTAAGCTTAGGTTATAATGGTAATTTTGGACATGTGAAAAGATTACCAGCAAGTACATAGCAATGCGTGATTTTGTGAAAAAAGAATCTTGGGTACTGGAGCCTGCCCTAGATTGTGAAGTCCTGAGATGATATGTTACAGTACAACTGTGCCAATTGCAAATTTGGTTAGGTCATATCTACAGTTGTATGGCTCTGCCCTTAAGCAAGAACTTCAAGTAGTTCTCACCTCCCTACCCAATAGCATTCACCTGAGGGACTGTGGACTTAATGTTTTGGAAATGGGAGTCTCCAAAGTCTGACTCTGATTGACAAGAGATCAGTGTAAAACTGTATATGTTTTACTACATATACTAAGTAAAGAATAAGGCATTTGGTAAATATCAAGCAAATTTCTTTCCAACGATTACTATGTGTTATTAGGAAGAAGCATCTCTTCTTTTGGGATAAAAAAACCCTGAAAACATAAAATTTATCCCAAAGTCTTGGGAATCTTTAATAGCTTTAAAAATTATTTAATTTTGATGTTATATGTTATAATTTTTATAACTTACAACATAGTATTTAGAATAAAATAAAACCACACATGTTGGCAGCAGCTGGGGATGAGATCTGCTGATATTCTAAAAATAAGTTGCCATAATTTAGCTTTTGATATAAATGCCTTTCATGAGGACTGTAAATGGACATTTTTCGAATTCTAGACATGTTCATATAATCGGAACTGAATCATATAATCGGAACTGAATGGAAAAAATGAAATGTTTAAAATAATCTAATCTAAATTATAAGATAAATGTAAGTAAAAATATTTTTCATTTGCGATTTTAAAACTGGTAGTTCCACAGAGTGGTGATGAGTACATTATACATATTTATGTAGATTTTACAGGGTGTTTCAAAAGTCCCCGAGGACATGTAGGATTCACAGTCTCCACATTCTTTGCATACAAATGCAGACTTTTTTCTATACTTGTTATAATAAATGCTGAAAATGGCTCTCATGTGCTTATAATAGACATGACATTTTTGTTCTCAAGGTCACTGAGTATGAGAGGGGTCACAAATGCCATTTTCTGCAAGGGGACTCAGGGACTTCTGGCTCATTCCTGTAAATTAGTTATCCACATAAATATGTATAGACATATATGTAGTATGCATAGTCACAACATAAATATATTTAACATTTAAGAAAATTTAGATATTCTACTGGTAAACTGACATATGTATACAATATAACTTGTATTTATTCACAGGAATTTGATTTTCTTTTTGTTCAAATGTACTGTTAGCTTCATTGTTATTTCTTTCCCAAAGATGTTAACAAGACTCCTTTATAAAGAAGCAACATGTTTTACTTGCACATATATTTTCTTTCTCTTTTGTCTTAACTAAAGTTGAGTAATGAGATTCATATTCACAAATAAATAACTAGATGGTGATTTTTTCCTTTTTTAGCAATTTTGGTTTTCATCTATATTTATATAATTGTTTCATTGAAACTGTCTTTAAAAAAATTGGTTCAAGAGTTAAAGTTTTTTTTTCTAGTTAAGAATCACAATGTCTGATATATTAACATATGTCAGCTTCCTACAGAAACCCTATGGGTCTGCCCACCTGTGATGTCATAGTAAGGAGGGGCTTTTCTTCAGCAGACTCCTCCCTCGGTATCTCCTTCATCACCATGGCAACAGCCTTATCTGCCGCCCTAGAGCCTTTTCCCTATAACAGTGAAATCAACAATGACTTGTGTCAGGAGAGATCTTTAACTTATTATTTATTACAAGATATTCTAATGTTTAAAGAGCAATCCAACATAAATGAAGAGGTAGGCTGCTGCAAGTGAATCTTGAGGCTTTTGGCTGAGGAGAAAACACACAAAATCTGAAAAAAGATAATCTGTGAACTTTTAGTTAGCTACTTTTTCCCCTTTACAGCTGACGTATTACATTTAATTTTAACATAGTATTTTATATGTATAATATGTTTTAAGGAAATTAACATGACAAGAATTTTTTGTAATATCAATTTAAAAACACTATGGGTTGCCTGTTATGTTCATTTATACATTATTACTCTATAATTTCTAAATATTTTGAATGACAGGAATTTGGGACAGAGATTGGAAGCAGGATCCAACTCCCACAGAGGGCTTTTGCTGGGTGATCTCTGGAGTCTTTGCCATTTTTGGGTGGATTGGGATAAAATGAGTAAAAATGTTGCAAAATAGCTAAAAATCCTTCAGTGGCTTGACATAACAGGAATTCACCCAGCCTGTTCTGTGGTGATGTTATAAACTTGATGAAAAAAAAATTCTGCAACTTTCAATGTTTTTCAGACCAAATAATTTTAATAGAGTTTTAGAAATGTCTTTTAACTGAAGAACCCCATAAATACAGATGTCAGTAAAGGATAATTAATATTGAGGCACTAATCTATGTCTCTCTATATATCTATAGATACATATGTATATGTATATATATAGATAATGTGTACACAAACACATACATATCCCTATGTTATTTGTCTCAAAGAAGTAGAATTATAAACTGTAAAGGGATATGGTGGCTTTCTGTTATTTGAGTTTACCAGATTATTACATTTTTTGAGACTAGATATGGTATAATGGGAAAAATCCCCCAAAATATTACCTTTCCAACCCAATGAGAAAAATTTCATACTATGTAAAAATTAAATAATCCTTAAATACTTTAAAAACAAAAGCTTCAATTTTCTCAGGTCTCTGGGTAGAGCCTCCCTGAAGAAAATAATTTTATACTAAGAACACATATGAATATTTGTGTTGTAAATCTACTTAAAATACAAATGTAGCAGACAGACCTATCACAGGCAAAGAAACGAAAACCGACATGGGGGGGTCTAATGTTGGAAAAGGGAATTAAGAGCCAGGGTTGATATTAACTCAGAACTTAATAGAGCTTGATCGTTTCCATGCAACAAAAAGGATACAATTACATCATTATCTTGTGCTTTCAAAGGGCTTTAAGTATTTAGAAGGTAGGTTTACTCTAGGGATCAAAACATTGTCCATTTTCTCAGGCACTGACTTTCTAAAATGTAGCCAGAGGCAGCTTTTCTTTATGAGAACAAAGAAAAATGTTTTGTAGAGTTAATAGATTTTTAAATGTGTGTATCTGTTTACAATGCTGAAAGTTTGTTTCTTTGTTTTGTTTTGACTTTATAACTAGCATTATTGAATTATAACGTGTTATTTCCAAGATGGAATATCAAATACTAGAGATTTTATTCAGCAAATACATCAGTAGTATTTTCATATATGTATGTGTTTTGAAAAGTTTATATGGCCGCAATTCATAGAATAACTGACTTCTGGAAGAATAAATGATAACTTGATTCATTGCATAACAAATTGAGGTGCATAATGCTTCCAGGTTTCTTCTTTAATGAAGCAATGTGAACTTCCTAAAATGGAGATGCAAACAATTCTGAATTCTGGGAAAAGATTTATTATGGCACTATTAACTTGTTTAACATTTTATCAAAATATAAAAATTATTTGGATGAAACATTACACACTACAAACTTAGTACATCTTTATAAGCTACACTCATTTACAGACTAAATATGGTTTATAACAAATATTTTTGCAGCTTACATTTTTCAAAAGAACAAAGTCATTTGTGAAGAATTCTTTCCATGCTTCAGTAAGTTCTAATAATATAGCAATAAACAAAGTGGCATGCTTATATTTCAATTCCTATTATATTTAAAATAACAAATCTAATGTTACAAGGTATGCTTTAATTTAAGAAAATAATAATTCAGATTCTTTTCTTGGGCTAAGAAAAAATGTCAATTGATAAGCATCTCAAAAAATTTCAGGTCAATTTTTCGGTACATTATTTATTTGAAATGCTACCAATCCATAAGCTACATAGAGATATTTCTTTACATGTGCAACTATAATAGCTAGAATTAGCAAGGGACATGCCATTTCACTAAAACAAAAACAAAAACAAAACAAAAATTAGTCCTTTCATGCTGAACTCTAGAACAAAGCAGTGGTCAGCTAGAAAGGATGTACGATAAATACATGCGGTGCTTTTTATTTCTTGCAGAAAAAACCCACCAAAGCCAGGGTCAGGTCACTTTTTTGAAGACAGTGCCACTTTTTCTTCAAGGTTACACCTACTACCTGAAAAGAGTCATGACACACCCATGTTAGAGACTGCTAGCAACTTTTTTCTTCACAGCCTTTTGGCTTTTGAGATAATACCCCATGAGCGTCACTGTTTTACAAGTGTGGTACAGTCTGAAGACAGAATGAGAAGGTCTGCCACAATGACATCTCCATGGTACCAGATACAGTGTCTAAAACCACTGCCAAATCAAGCGAATACACTCATGTATCAATGCAAGATTTCCCCCAAATCAAATTGCCTCCTCCACCTGTTATCTTAAAATCAAGCTGTGTTATTTCTGACTTGTCTATTTATCTCATGGGATGATGCTTCCAGAAATCAGAACCTGACTGATAATTGGCTTGGCAATTCATGAGACTTTACAAATTTGCTTTATCAGCAGCTCTGCAGGGCTGATGACAATATAACTGTGCAGGCTTCTTTCTTTTTTGAAGGCAGTAGCTTAAAACATTGTAAGATGTATATGTAATTGTTCAGACTTCAAACTCAATTTTCAAAATATAACCACACCAAAGGGTCAGTTTTCATCTATTATGGGAGACAACATGAAGACAGCAACAATAAAATATACACTGAATATATATTCAAGCATATAAGCAGTTTATAAACTTTAGATAACATTGTCTATATGCTTCTATGCCACTCAGCAACAATGGAAAAGAATAGTGACATTTTAGAAGTTGCTTACTATATTGTGGTATCCTCCAGCAATAATTTCAGCCTATTTATTTTCAAGTAATATTTCAAAATCACTTTTTCCCACTTCCTGGTTTAATTTCTTGAAATAATGTTGACTGGAAAAACAATATCAGCATTAAGAGGAAACTTATTTTTCTCGATGCTTTCCTGTGGAAAATTCTTTGATATTTTTATTTCTTCCATCATTTGTTTCTTCACTTAGGAAATATAAAGAATGACAGCTTTCCTAACAAATAATAATTCTAGAGAATAATCTTTTTATTAAATTCTATTATAAGAGCAGGCACAAATGAATGAAATACAGGGAGTCTAGCAGTGCCATTAACATTTATTAAGAAAACCCAGTCATGGTCCACTTATTTCCTTTTTTAAAATACAAAACATAAGAAACAGCATACACAATACTGGACATCACAGGACCCTCTCCGGCTGGATACCAGACTGTGGAACCACCAGATGCTTCAGATGAGAAAGGTTGGACCTGTTTTACAGGGAAGGGGCTAAACTATTACAAGAAGCTACCACGTGCTGGGCACGCTGCTAAATGTTTGATATAATTTCATTTATTTGATCTCGTGATAACTCTGTGGGGTAGATATTATCTTCCATAGATAGTTGAGGACACTGAAGCCCAGAGACTGTGATGTGGCCAAGGCTTCAAAGCCATTCTGTGGCCGAGCCAGGACAGGAACCCAGACCTGTTTTCCAGGCTTTCCTGCTTCGTCTCTACCATCCCGGTGTCTGTTCACGTGGCTTAGTGAGGCTGGAGGGCTCTCCCTGCCGCCCTCACTGACTGCCATAAATGTCCATTGTTCATGATCTCGCTCAGATTTGGGGCAGCAGCCACTTCTCACTATAATCACATAAGCAAACATTTTCTGAGAAATAGCTTCTTTCTCTAGTCTGGAATGGTCAATAACTTCACTCACAAGCACGTTTCTAGTAACCTAAGTATTTCACATATATACAAACTTCTTTTTTATTCTGTAGATCTTAGTAGGTTTATAAGCTTTAGCATCTCTCTAATTCTTATTAAATACTAGCTAAATGCCATTAAATGTCACTTTTACTAAGACTTTCTTGAGATCCGTTTTGGTGCATAAAATACTTAAAGTATGCAATTCCACAGTTATACAGGCCACTGGTTTAGTTGCAGGTTCTATTACTTCTACCAAGGAATTTGTAATTTAAAACTTATTTTCATTATTTTTAAACTCTCAAGAATTATCCAGAGTTTCTTTATCAGAGATATTAAACAGAAGAAATTGAGATAGGTTAGATTAGGGGAAAAGTAAAAAAGATTACAATACTAGACATCTCTGCCAACCCAAAATTATCTAATGTATGAATTTTCAAAATAGTCTTCCTTTTGTTCTGATTATAAAAATTAATATACTTCTTGTCAAAAATTGATAAAAAACAGAACTAAGAAAATAAAATTAACAACCCTAATATTTTCATGAATTAAAAAATTATTTTGTTTTATAATACCAGCAATTAAGCAATTTTTTAGGCTGAATATTTAAAGGATAGATCTGCTACCATGAAGCCTACAAGGATGAATATATTGAATATATTTCTTTATGTATACATACATGTAAACAAACTCCTGACATCTATATATTTTTGTTTGTTTGTTTGTTTTTGAGACAGTGTCTCGCTCTGCCACCCAGGCTGGAGTGTGGTGGTGTGATCTCGGTTCACTGCAGCTTTAACCTCCTGGGCTCAAGTGGATCCTCCCACCTCAGCTTCCTAAGTAGCTAAGACTACAAGCGTGTGCCACCACACTCTGCTAATTTGTTAAAAATTTTTTTTTTTTTTAGAGATGGAGTCTTACTA